TTGTTTAAACGTGAATGTCCCTAAGGTCTATCCCGATTCCAAAGGCCTCTTCATGGAAATACTGAGTTGTAAATAGGAAAACAACTTTACTAAATGCAATTAAGAAAATGAATTTATTAAAAATAGATGGTAAGTTAGAATAAAAAAGAAGCCAAAATTTGATACTTGCTAAAGAGGAAATTGGCGGGATAAAAAGCTTTTATCAAACAATTTAAAAATTGGGGTGATTCCATAATTTTGGAAACCACGGGAAAATTATGTGCCTTAGGAGTAAATAGGAAGTTTATGTGAAAAAAAAGTTTTCGTTAAGCTTGTTTACGAAACTAACCCTATGTTTAATTAAAACATGATCCTTACCTTCCAACCACATGAAGCAATTCAGCCAAGTCTACTCTCATCTTCTCCATTATTTGATCATCTATGGCTATATAATCAGAATCTTTCAGCCTACGAAGAGCCTCTTTATACAGCTCAATGGCTTCATTCACGTCTCCTATAAAACACCACATGTATGAACACGGCTCTTTTTTGGGGAATAAATGTCAAAATAGGAATAATATAATGGACAGAGAGCCTAGAAAGCATAATAATTTGTCATCCTCCTAATTTGGAATGAAACCAGTGCATTATGCTCTAGCACTTGCAGGAAGCTGAAAGTTACAAGAAACTGGAATCTCCAGAACACAAGAATGCCAAATCACCAATAGGTATTCAAATTTAGTTAGCTGTTCAAGCATTGGCCCTATCTCATAATTGCTATTGAGGAAGTTACTTCATTGTTCGGCCTTTTCGTTGCTTTCTTCATTTACTTAAGTAATGACAACCATAGATAAGGAAAACATTATGTGAGACGCCAGGAACAGCAAACTAAAAGAGACATTAATCACGAGAAGTAGGAAATCATTAAATTCACCTTTTGCACATTTTGCACGTGCAAGATAACTCATAGACAGTCCAACTCTGCCATCATTTTCTCCATATAACTTCATGTATGTGGTCAAAATTCTATATGATATGAAAATAAAAGGGAGAACATGTTAGTATGGTGATTATAGAAACACAATGGTCAAGAACCAAGATACATGTAGGATCAGTGATCACCTATTAAAAGCATTTTCTGCATCAGCCACTCTCCCTTCCTTCAGAAGAAGATTGCCCATCGCAAATAAAGGAACTACCAATTCTTCACTTTCTTCACCCCTGCTAGATTCGAGTATTTTAACCACACGATGGTATGCCTCTATTGCTTTTGTGGTCTTTCGATTAGAACCCAGGACTTTTGCCATCCCTAACAATGGAGTGACGATAAAAGAACTGGTATTTCCTGTAATGTAAAATAAAAGCGCCGCGAACTGCTTTCAGCCACATATCAGCCATCTAGAAGAAGAAGCACTAGCTTGATAACAGTAACTAACGCTACAAACTTAAAACTTTTATCAACCTGGACCTTTTATTTCTATACAGTTGTATGGCAAACAAAATCCAACCCCATAGTAGATGAATAGAATTCATATTTTAGAAACATGAGCAGCACCACCATCTAACACAAATATATGCATACATAAAATAAGCAACACAAGAAAAGTGGAAAAGAAAACCGACGTACCATAGAGTCTCTCAATAACTTTGACAGCTCTTCCATAGAGACAAATGGACATCTCAAAATTTTCCAATTTTTCATACATATTACCCATATGTGTGAGTATCGAGTCCAGAAGAGGCTCCTCATCTTTCAAGTCATCAACAATCTCGCCCAACTGCCAGTACATCATCCCAACCGCCCACATACAGAAAAGGGTGACCAAAATGAGGACAAGTAACAAGGACGTTATAGTATTGCATGAAAAGCGAAAGTTCTTTATGTCAATAAAAGATTTGTCTTTCTCAGAGATAGTTGTAATTGAAACTTCCAAGGAAGATGTTTGAGATCATGCCTCCATGCTCTGGTTCTCCTAATGAATTTTTACACCGTACATCTGCCCCTTGAAAGGTCACTTGATCCTTTCATGGATGATGATAGAAAAACAAGAATCAGGAATTAGCATATATGTGAAGAGAAAGAATTACCGCATCCAACAGGGGTTTGACAGAACTTGTATCCCCAAGAGCCATGTATCCCAAGGCTGTTACATCAAGAATAGCAGCTTCTTCTATACCCTTGTTACCTGCATCTATCTGTTCTTTGACAGCTTCATAATTCGCTAGAAGCAGATCTCTGGCCTCATTTTCCTTCCCTATTCTTATCATGGCATGGACTTCATTAAATAAATCCCTCAGCTGCTCCTCGAGAATATGCAGACTGCTAGGCACATTGTCCTTTAAATCCGTGTAACTGCTGAAAACACATGCTGTCACAGTAGTTCTCAATGGATATAAAAAAGAACTCAAGTCTCTAAATTTCTATACTTTCAAACTGTTGAAAAGTTTAGAATTCATCAGGATTTCTAATCTATTTACCAACTAATGGGTTTAGCCAGTAACATCAAACTTATAGATAGTGCTGGTAGATTATCGTCCATTTGACGGACATCATTACACCTCTTCACAAGTGAATTTTTGCAGAAGCAATGGTGGAGCCAAGTAGATGTCAAATAGGTGCTAAAGTTGCACCGTACAAACAGACGCTCGTTAGTTTTTTTTATAAAGACAGATGGTTCATTAGTTAATAAAAAGTAACAGCTTATAAAACGCTTCAGCTTTCAGAACTTTGGTTCTCCCTCCCAAACTTCGTATTTTCTACTTTCTCATACTTGATGTTTTCCATGATTCAAATAGAATGAATTATATTATCCTCTTAAAATCTATAATTAAGACAAGAATATGGAAATAGTTGTATGGGTGGAGGGGTGGTAGGTGGCATGTAGGTCTGCCAAGGCAAATAGTTGCATGCTCTACTGATAATATTGTCAACCAGATAAGCAACTGGATTGTGATCTTAACTTAAGGTAGTAGACCTAGCACAACTAGTGCATGAAAAGGCATTTTTGGAATTTGTCTCACCTTTAAAAGGTTATGAGTCAGTAGTGAGGTGCTTGCCTGAGTTCCGTCATGAGACATGTGCCTCAATTACCTAGGTATGAGCTTGCTGCGCTGTCCCAAGCTCGCCTAACAGTTTTTCTGCCAATGGTGTGCAACAAGCACAATTAGCTCTATTGACCCTCAAAATTCCTCAACTATTATAACCCTTAACTCCTCAAAAGCCTCCTCATGATTTCAAAAACCTAGATGAAGTTCTTTGCAACTTAAACTGGAGCCATTAAAGTTCTAAGTGAAATTCTAATAACAATTAACAATGTTGTCCTATCTACATTAAGGGGTAATGAGACCGATAGTTTTAGTTTTTAAAGGTCTACCGGAAACAGCCTCTCTAACTTTTTAAAAGGTAAGAGTAAGGTCTACGTACACACTATAGTCCCCCAGACCCCACTTGTGGAAATACACTGGGTTTGTTGTTGTTGTTATTGTATATATTAGGTGTAAGTAATGGTTACCACGGTAGGATACTTATTAAAAATCACTTTTTTACACAAGAAAAGCAACGAAGTTATCAAAGATTTGACACATAATGTGAATAAACCTGCATTTGATCAGAAGCAAGCAAATCCATACCTCTGAGAACCAAGACTTGAATTAAGTTGATACCGTTTGTTTCCGTACAATTTGGGTGAAGCAGCTGACACAACACAACCCCTTTTGCAAAAAGGGAAAAACAGCCCACCAGTAGGAAAGCAAAGCTTAAAATTGCAACTTTGAGATGGACGGTGATAAAAGGTGACAGACAATATGCCTTTGGGTAGTCGGCCAATATTATTATGGGTATTTAAAGATACAAGACTCGTCCTGGAAAATGCAACCCGGGAAAAAAAAACTCATTGAATTGACAAACATAAGCATATACAAAGGAAATGAAGTACGAAATGGGTTTGAGATACCTGCAGGAATTGGTGAGTGAGCAAAAGGTGCGAGGAGTAGGAGAGGCTGGAGAAGTAGACATTTTGCTGCTGCAGAAGCACAGGAGAAATCGAGGGAGACAGATAGAAAGGAGAGATTATCCACAACTATGATTTAATGTATCAAATATTACTTTAATAAATATTACTGTAGTCATTATTTTATTATTTAATATAGTGTACAAAAATATAATAAAATCTATACAAAATCAAAGAATACACGTTATATATTAATCAAATAAATTATTTGTTTCTTATTTATTTTTTATTAAATTAACAAGTACTTAGTCTTGTACATTTACTAATGTGACTTTTTATTAACTTATCAATTGGCTTAATATTTTGATACTACTTCTCNTTGTAATTTACTGAAAATTTAAATAATGTAATATTTTTTTCTAAATTATAATTCTTAATTCATCAAAAGTATAAAGAAATAAGCCTTTTATTATTTTTATAAAAATCTACCAATATTTAATAATTATTAATTTGTGTTATATATATATATATAATATGTGTATCTTATGTATAATATCCTAATAGTATCTTCTTATTTATGTATTTTTTATTATAAAATTATGAGTTCTATTTATTAACTAAGATTTCCTACATGAGAAATTTAATTGCTCCATCAGTTTCAGTTTATGTGAACCTATTTCTTTTTTGGTCCGTTCCAAAAAGAATGACTCCTTTCTAAATTTGAAAATAATTTAGCTTAAACTTTCAATTCTACCATTAACGAGAAGCTTTTATAACCACACAAATACTCTATACCCCTTTTTGACTTGTTTAAGACCATAAATTCCAAAAGTCTTTATTTTTTTTTAAACTTCATGTCCAGTCAAACAAGTTCACATAAATTAGAACGGAGGGAGTAGTATATACATTTTTGCGTTATCGTTTGAAATTCTTTTTTTAGTATTCTTCATTTATAACTATTTGTGTATTATGATTTTAGTTATTTGTATATATACAACTTTTCTCATCATAATTTTAATTATAAGTCTTATATTTTTATACTTTCCAACAAATTTATATTGTATTTCTTTTTATTCCTTGCTTATCTAATTATATTATTAATTACTTAATATTTTTAAATTGTCATATGAATTTTTAATAAATTACAAGTTTAATATAAAACAATGAATATATTTGTATTACTCTTGAGATTTAACTTGTCTTTATCTTATATGACTTTCTCATAATTATTTTGATATTTATATTCATTAATAATATTTTAGAGTATTATTTATTTACTTAATTTTATTAAATAAATTTAAAGTGTGGATAGAATCACAATATATATATCCTCCTCTTTATACATTAGTTTTTGTTCTATAATATTTTGACTTTTTATACTTTGTGTTTATCTATAATACGAATATTTTTGCATTATTTTTGTAATGGATGGTATTGAATTAGCTCAAAGGGTAAACAAAAACGTTCTTTTAATAGATGTCATAAATCTACTAATAATTGTAATATTTATTATTTCTATATTATTTTTAATAAGAAATTAAATTGAAGTCTTCTTCCCGTTTGTATTTAATATGAAAGTTTCACTTTTTATTAATATTATTACATAATAAATTAAATTATATATTTATCTATTTTATTTATTTCCTGAAATTATTGTTTATGTTTTTTTTATCTTTAGTTTTATCTTATCCATAGCATATAGCATGACCATATGAATTATTATTTAAAAAAATTCCATAATAAAAAAAAGATTAGTCTTATCATTTTATATATCTCTAAATTGAAGTTATATATTTTTATATTTTCTTATAATAGTTTCCTTAAAAATATATAAATATTTAATTATTTAAGATTCACATTCAAAAAGATTAACCAATTTCTAACAAACCTAATTAATTTTGTCCTAAAATTTGACACTTGTTGAATTTTTGTTGTGACACTTGGCATTATCACATTGAATTCCTTCTCCTATTCTATATAGATAGATAGTTTTCTTAAAAATATATAAATATTTAATTATTTAAGATTCACATTCAAAAAGATTAACCAATTTCTAACAAACCTAACTAATTTTGTCATAAAATTTGTCACTTGTTGAATTTTTGTTGTGGCACTTGGCATCATCACATTGATTTGCTTCTCCAATTCTATATAGATAGATTATTTAAAGCCCAACTTAAATGCACTCGTTTTAATAGCATGTTTGGCGCTTCTAAAATCACTTTATTTTGAAAAATACTTTTCTCAAAATTATTTTTTAAAATATACTTTTAATGAGAAGCAATTTATATTTGGCTAAATCAATTTGAAAAAAATACTTTTGAATAGCAATTAATATTTAGCGAAACTTTTAAAAAATACTTATAAGTATATTTTTCTCATAAATACTTTTTTCGACTTCTAAAAAAACTACTACTTCAACTCAAAAGTATTTTTTTTTCTAAAAGTTTGGTCACACATAGGGGTGTCAAATTGGTGGGGATGAGCTAATTTTAGGCGGATCAAAATGGATTGAGTCAATAAATAGGCGGGTCAATTGACCTGCCCAAAAGTAGCTTGGGTAGAGATGGGCTGGGTCAAGTTAGGCTAAAATTCGGGTCATAGCCCAACTCTTGTCAAGCTTTAATTAATGTGTGTTATTTTCTTATGTACTGTTAAATTATCGAATAAGACTTTTTGTCATTTGTTACGGTCACGTATAACATATCAAAACAAAATTACTTTAAAGATATTTTAGTAAAGTTACTCATGGATCAATTTGGGCTAAAAATCAGTCCATTGGGCTGAAATGAGTTGGGTCAAGATGAACTGAGTTCAACAAACGAGAAGAGAAACTTTACATATCTGTCACAATTTAAAAGAAATATAACAAATTCGTAGCATGAAATCCAATATTACAGTTGTGGCATGAAAATATTTATATTTGTAGCACATAGTTCCATTAAAAAAGGAATATTAATTATTAATCTCTAAACATAAGCAATTTGAATGGAAAGTCAATAATTCTTTGTATAAAAATCATTCCTTTTTTTTTCTTTATCTATTAGCTTTCCTTCTTTTTCTTCATCTTCTTAATTTTATTTTCTGCCGAAGCCAATATATTTTCTAAATTTGTTCCGTTCATTTTTTTTTAATTATCTTTCTTAAATTTTTTCTCTTCCTTCTTTCTTCCTTTCTTTAACATAAGGTTCTTACTTCGATAATAAAATACGTTAATATATACAAAATGTATATAAAAAAATATATATTGAATTAACACATATAAATTATACAAAAAATATACATAAAAAATACATCTTCAATTAAGATGACACTTAAACATGTGAAATATACATAAAAAATATATCTTAAATTTAATTAAGATGGCATATAAATATACCAAAAACATATATATAAAAAATATACCCTAATTAAAATGACACTTGACATATAAAATATATTTAAAATATACATTAAAAATATATCTTAAAATAAGATGGCACTTCACAAATAAATATACAAAAATTATATACATAAAAATACATTTTGAATTAAAGTGATACTTGATATACAAAGTATAAAAGACGTATAAATCAATACATCTTGAATTTAGGTGCCATTCACATATGCATCAGATTTTAAAAAATGGAGTGAATAAGATGAATGTTGGGCTTAATTTTTGTAATATGCTAATAATGAAAAAAAAAGTGCTCTTTATGGAATAAAGAATAAATGATGCTATTTTTTTAAAATAATAATTAAAAAAGGATAAAGTGCGTAAAAAACGCAATGGGGGAGATCAATGACCGGACCAACTTTAGAAAAAACACTTTTGTAAAAAAGAAGCACGGTCAAACATGCTATAATAGAGCTTCTTTCTTTCTCTTAGTTCTCTTTCCAACCAATCTGTTTACTAGCAGCCACTCCAGCAGTGGATGATAAGAAATAAAAGGACTTGGAAAATTCAAATAGCTAGAGAGCACAAAACTTCTCCAACAGTCCAGGTTTTAACATGTCAAATAAAATCTGTCCAATTGACTTGGCTTATGTAGCCCCTTATCTAACAAAACTATGACCTCCATCAGGACATCTCTAGAGGAAAATGTTCCATATAACAAGAGTCATGAAAAACATAGAAAAATGACTCGCATCATACAAACACACCCGTGTTTTTTGGCTGCCAAGTACCATGTACCTCAAACCATCCACTCAAATATGGCGTGTAATTTTACATGTCGAAAACAAATGCATTCTTCATCCCTCTAGACTGGCATACTACATATGCAGAAATTCTTAGGAAGGACGGGTGGAAAAGAAAGTGGCAAGTGGCAAAAGAGGGTTCAGATAAGGCGGAAGAGCTAGCAATCCTGGCCAGAAGAGCCACCCCACAACAAGTTATGCAAGTTTGAAGCTCATAAACCATTGTATCAACTATACACAACAGGGATGTCAACATAAAGGTTGTTTTACTCCCCCACCTCCAGCGCATCATATATCCGTTTACAGGTACAAAATAAAAAGAAAAAAACCCCAAATAAAGGTATTCCCTTTTAGCGGAAAAATAAGCACTAGCATGAACCCAATTTTGCACAAAATGCGTAACTCCATTCCTGTACATTGCAAGAGTGTTGATAGTACATTCCAAACTACAAGACGACAACTTGAGGGAAAATTAAGCACCAGCATTTGAACCTGATTTTGCACAAAACACTTCATTCCTGTACAGTGCAGGAGTGTTGATAGTACATTCCAAAATACAAAACGACAACTTGAGGGAATAAAGCATTACAAATTACATTAGCACTGAGTTCTAATATTGTACATTCTTACTTGTCAGTGCCTCGCGATGGCCTAGGATACCCTACTATAACGGACTACAGAGGAAAATTTGCAAGGCACCTACAGGCTCGGAGCATTATTTGCCACATATGTCACAGTTCTTCAGGGGCCATCTTCTAGGGCTGAATAATAAAGCAAAGAATTAGATTACATAAGGAACATTGCCATGCTAGTCACTATTTTTCTCTTTTGTTCTTTTTTTTTTTGGGGGTGGGGGGTGGGGTGGGTTTGGTTTGTACTGGCACACTCTTTTTGTTCTCTCTCTAATCCCAGTTTAAGGTTGAGATGAACAGAGAAGAAAGATACTTACTAC